GACCCACAAGAAATCGCGTCGCCACAGCTACCATCAATAGCAGGGCAGCAGGTGTTGAGCGAGGCGATTGTAAATTATCAGCAATGAACAGTTTATCGGGTTTCTTAACATCAGAATGCGCGGGAATTAGGCCGAACTTAGTTTTATGCCCCTTAGCATTGGTAGCAACAGCACCAGCAGCAACATCGCCTGCGTCGCAATCAGCATCAGAAGACAAAATCACAATATTAGTTGTGTTTTCGCATTCTCCAGCATTTGGTGATTGGTTAACAGCAGTATGTATTATGTGATGAGAAAACAGAGGACTTTTTTGTTCTTATCCTCTGCTAACGATTTAATTTCACTGCAGAGCTTTTCATTTACACTCCGAAAATTTTCAGTTTGTTTTGTCAGATCTTCAGCAAGCACTCTTAGTGTGCAAATTTATTGAATTTTCCTGAGTTTTGCCCAAAGTTTAGAGATTTTATTTTTATGTTTTTTTTTGGTGTAAAATGAACTATATATATATTTACAAAAAATAATCGAAAATAAATTTGAATAAAAAACTTTGTATATATCGCGAAAAATTCACTGTGCCAATAGTTTTGTTATGTATATTTCTTTTGCATTTTCCACAAGATAAACGATTTTATAAATTTATGTTTGGCATATTTTAAATTCCGTACCAATTAAAAAGAATAACCAATTGCATTCCAAAACGTCAAAATACAAAGGTATCAGTCGCTTTTATTTCTAAACCGCACAAACTAGCATCAAACATTACAATCTACTGGGGTTTGTAAGTAACAGAGACTGATGCTTTGTATTTTGTCGTTTTGGAATGCAGCCTAATTTGCACTGCCTTTTCTTCAGTCATATTATTGATTGCTGCGGCATACGTTGCGCCAAAACTCGTCCCATGTTTTATCAGCCGCGTTCACCATTTGCTCACCACCAATGGAGGATGGCGTGGCTGCTATACGCATGCGGAACGGCAAGCCGACACTGTTAAAAAATTCCGTGTCATCATCCACATCACTATTCGAATCACGATAATCATTTTCACGTCGTTTCTGCGCAGCAAGGATAGCAGCAATGGCAGCAAGCTGTTGTAGTGGTGATGGTTCCGGTTCAGCTGGTTGGGCGAAGTTCATGAGGAAGGGTTGAGCGGCTGGTGGCGCGTCCTCGTTGACCGCAACCACTGGCACTGGACGTTTGCGAACGTACATTTCGTTAAATTGGAGTATTTTAAAAGACTGCTTGCTTCAAAATAAAATAAGTAGAAAGATCGGATTTGCTAGACATCTAGCGACATACTTTGCACTGTAGAGATGTTGAGAATGTGCCTAATACGAAAAGGTCAGTTCAATTTATACTGCTACATGAAGCGAGCTATTATTGTTGGAAAGTTTTGAGTTTAATTTGAAAAACATGTTTACAAAGTAGGTAATTAAGTTAAATATTTAAAATTAGGTAGGCATGGTTACGAGGGTTCATTCAACAGGCATAAAATACAATAAACAACCGTTTGCACGTACCCAGCAAACAATTACGTTTGATATACATTTTAGGATGATTTGAAATCTAAAGCCCTTTCTCAAATGTCAAACGTTTGAAAATGATTTGAAAATAACAGCTTTCTCAATAAAAAGGGGAGTTTGATGTCCATTTGAGAGTATGGTTAACTCTCAAATCAATTCCAAAGGTTATTTATCAATTGTACTTCAAATGTGGAAATAAAATTTATTATAGAAAATGTATATTTTATATTTTTTTCTTCTTCGCGATGTACATACATAACAAAGGAAACTATTAAGATAAAGCTATTTCGAATGAATTGGTCTTCTCCAATCCGCACAAACATCAAATCCACTATTAGCGGGCTTTCTTTAGAATATTTTTTTTTCTATTCATTGTCTTTGAATATGTCATTGAATTTAATTTTATACTTATGTACCAAATTTTGATTTAACGGCGCACTTTTATATCATTTGACACTTGCCATGCTCCTTCAAATCAATCTCAAATGAATTTCAAAATGTAAAATGTAAACCTCGTTTTCAATTTAAGAATCCTTTGAAAAAAAAAAACATTTGATATCAAATTGAGAAATAAGTTTTTCTCAAACGTTTGAAACCGTGTTTGCTGGGTGTTTGCCAGGCAGCAAAAAATTTGAAAACCGTTCAGAAAAAGGAAAAAAAGTTGATGAAGAGCGGATTTTTGTCCGTTTACCGATTCCATTTTCGGATACTTTGACGATCCGTTTCCCACTGAAGTGTGCGGCAGAAACGTATGTACAGACAACTACCGAAAATTGTTTGTGAAACGGACATTTTTTCGGCTGTTTTCCCTGAAATTTGTCCTATTGAATTTTTCGTTCAATACGCTTTCCATCCGCACTTCACAGATCTTCTTCCATGGTTAAAAAAAAAATAAAAAATAAAAAATAGTAAGCTCCTGACGGAATTCGAACCCGGCACCTTCTGAAAGCTTTCGTTGCCGGATACGGAAAATTTACGTTTCATTGCTGGCTGGGTACACATATGTCTGTATATACAAAGTACATGCTTATCCGTATAAATCGCGTGCTGTGGTGTTGATGGATATACAACATTTCAAAGCACACTTATGTATATATCTGTGTGTAGCTGAGTGCGCAAAGATGCTTGCCACAACTTGTTAATATCCAGAGATGGTCAGAGTTCAAATGCCGCTGTAGGCAACATGCAAACTAAATATTTTTTTTTCGTATTTATCTTGATTATTCACGTCACGGATGCTTTTTCAGAATGAACGCGGTCATTTTAATATGCGCGTAATTGAATTGAATATTTGTCAATATAAAGTACTTTCGATGACGTTTATAGTAAGATCACTTGATTTGAATATTTTTCCCCTCAGTGTATGCAACACCGATTATTTTTTCTAATTTTACGCAAAACTAATAGACAAAATTTGCGAAATTTTTTTTGCATTGATAATAAAATTATTCTTTTTTATTTGTCGTTTTTTTTCGTAATTTTAGAAGTTTTCTTGGAACTTTTATGGATTCTTTTGGGACTTTTCGATGTCGCTAATGTTTTATTTTGTGGACCTTTCGGTAAACTTCACGTTCTGCAGTAAATTGTAACCATTACTTTAAGGATGCCTAAATATAAAACCGAAGAATTATCGGTTATTAGGCTCACTATTTCATTTATGTTTGCTCAAAAAATATACAAAAATAGATAAGCTGCCAAGCGATCTTTAGTTTACTTGAAACTGATTTTTTCGCTTAAATACGCTTTGATTCTGCACTTCACATATGCTTTTTATATTAGTAAAAATCAACAAAAATCGAAAACTTGGAACCTAACGAGTAATATGTAGCAAGCACGTCTCCACTTGAATATGCTTTCAAATGTTCATTTCATGATAAAAAAAAATTTATATCATGGTTCAGTTTAAATAATTTTTCTTTATTGTTTAAACTAATTTAACCAATAAATATTTTGGTGAACTTCATGTAATGAAAAAGGGTAAATCTTTTGTAGATGCGGTGGCGTAACGTAAATAGTACACATTTATTTTGACGTAGAATACGTCTTACGTTTCGATATGGAGGCTATGCTCAAATGTTGTAGTTGTAATTTTTAGAGCTTCATGAAAACGCTTATTGCATGAGAACTAATGAAGCGATTTCAAAGAAAAGGGTGGCGTTTCATAGATAAAATTCCAAACCTTCCCTGCAGGGAAAGCTACTAGTTGTGAACTAGAATTCTACCAATTTTCGTTTCAGCCCAAATAGTTCACGTTCTATCCTTTTTCAATGTTAGCGACTGGTATTTTTAACATTGCGATGTCCTACGAGATGTCAATTGTCAGGCTATGCATCAGCATCTACTAGAAGAAATACTAGTAGCATCATACTAGTTGATGAGATAGTCTGCCAATTCATACCCCGTGAAAAGCATTAGTATGCCTTTTTGATCGCGGCGCTCCAACAGTCGCAATGGCTGACAGAGCAAAGCACTCGCGTGGTATGCCTGAGGTACCAGGTTCAAGCCCTGGCGCAAGGAATTTTTTTTTTTTATTTCTTTTATTTATATTTCTTATTTAGGTTATTTTTTGTTATTCTTAAATTTAATCTAAAAAAAATGTATATTTTTTTAATCTTTTTTTTTTTTAATGGCACATTGTTGTTGTTTCTTTTTTTTTGTAATGCAACTAGATTTTTAAGTTTGTTATTTATATTTAAATTGGAATAATTATTCCTACTTACATTGATCTAACTTTAAAAATCTTAACCACCTCCAAGCGGCCTCGAACCTGCGATCCCAGAACCAGAACCACCATGCAGTGAAAAGCCAAACCAGTTAGAAAAAATACTAGTTCATTAACTAGTATGTGCCTACCAGTTCGCCAATTTCGAAGAACTTAGGCGATCAGCGACACCTGCCTTTGAATTGCCAACGCCAAAAATTAAACGCAATTAATTGCTTTTCTTACAAATGTCGGCTGTGGCGTCACGTGAAGACTACTGGTTCTGGTTTTGGGATCTTAATTTTAAACCAAGAAAACCACCGACTTCAATTCTCGTATAAAATGTTATTCTTCACAAAACAATTACCGGAACTAAACCGAACTAATAATGGACCACCCTTGAGGGTACCAATAAAAAAAAAAAAATATTTAACGCCGTCGAAAATTATCCGGTAATAAAATCCGCGAATTGATAGATAACCTCCACCTTTTTTGAAGTCGGTTAAAAGTACGTTAATCTCT